AAATCAAAACTTACTACTAATAATTAGATTTTTGTTAAGAGTTCTTGTTCATCCAAGAACATTTTTTGCAGCATCTTTCTCGGAGATATGGAGATTATAAGCGTCTACATCTTCCTGATGATAATAATTATTTTCTTAGATTCTTTGACATGGGAACAAACTTCCATTGATTGTGTGGGAACAGGCATTATATTTTCGACATTTTCGCTCATTTTCCTGGAGCCCTAAGACCAGAATTCGATGGTAATCTGATCTTAGGTCAATTCTGATCTCATCCGAAATAGCCGGTCAAATTTATTTTGCCTAAATAACGGTGGGACCCGTTACTCTCTCCTATTATACAACCCTCAAGCGCGAAGTCTTTTCTTAGAGTTTCAACTGAAATGTTCACAATTGTAGCTTCCAGAAGTTGTCGTTGTAACTCTAGACTTGAGTACTACCTCTGCTACGTCTCTTTGGGGGCATTTCTTGTTCAACGAGAGCAATAATTCTTCTCATTTGCACATCCGTTAGTCCAACATAAGATATTTTGTTCTTTTTTGGACGGAATAAAATTACTGGAGGATCGTGATTTTATTTCTGAACACAAAAGTCACAAGATAATAAATCGCAGTAGTCGTTTCTTCTTCATTATCATGTTTATTTAGAACAAAAAGCTTTATCTTAAAGTTCGATACCAAATTTTTTCCTTACATAAAGTTTATTCAGAAATACACAGTGATTCCATATAAGTTTGGTTGTGTGTATATTAAACAATTGTCAACACAACTGCTCAATGCAATTTTTATGGCATAAATGGCGGTTATACTCACATGACTTTCTCAACCGTTTTATTTCAGGATACCGTAGAGTATAAGGTGTAAGATATCTTTTATTATAATTTAGTGGTTACCCCATTAGCGGTGACCGCTTGGAGGTATTTTTAACCCCACTGAGTCTACCTTGGGTACACTCTGGTATACTCTACAAAGTCGCAGAGCAAAATGTGTTAATAAAACTGGCGCCTGATTTAACCACCTCAGCACCAAACAGACTTACTACTTTACAGTAGGTGGCGCCAGAAACCTGTCTTAAAGAATAGTGCAACATAAGCATTAATATTTTCCGGGATTGAAAAGAATTTTGTGGTATTTATTTTGCCTATTATGTACTTTGGAAGTATAATATATTTTTGGATAAATATTTTATTTCTAAGATTTCTTTTACATAGATAGAACGCACTGGCTTATAGACTATAATAAAGGTGTTTCATAACACCTTAAATATTGTTTTAATTAGAATCTATGAAGGAATGTAGGTAGAAACGATTTTAAATAATCGCTTTTTGAATTGGATTTTAAAAATTATTTGCGGGCATGTTCAATATAATACAGTCCCAATTCTAAATCAATTAAAAGTTTAATAACGTGAGCGTTTAAAAATATTTAATTTGGGCTGTGATTTCTATAAATAATAGGTATACATAGTTATCATTTTCATATTTAGTTTGTAGTGATTTATTATTAATAAATGGTACATTTATTCATAAATAAAAATCTATTAAAAATGTATATTCTATACAGGATGGTCCGGATTTAACTTGTGTGTACAGATATCTCGTAAATCGCATGATATAAAATGTCGGTTGAATAAAGAAAAGTTCATATTTTGATGGGTAATTCGATTGTCCATAAAAGTTTTACATTTTCCTGGTAGTTCCGGGGATATTCGACAAAATCCGAGTAAGCAAATCTACATTTTTTAAGTCTAGCATTATTAATATAAAAGATATAAAAAAAATTAAAAAAAGTTTTTGTAATAAACAAAATTACCAATAATCCCTTATACCAAAATTTGTATAAGGTTTCGTAATTCCAGGATTACCTTCAACTCTATTTATTCAAATATGACCGGTATTTTTAATCAAATTTTTTGTTACCCTGGCTACTGTTCTGTAAGAACTGCCCCAATCTAAGGTGTAAGGTAACGCGCTGAGGGGTATCTGCAGCAGCAAACGTTCCCTTGTAGGCACCAAGTGATACTTACAAGTACCCAGCCTTAGCTCTGTACAGGAACCATTGCAGAGCTAGACCACCCCTTCACCCATACTCGTAGGAACAGGTATAAATCAAAATAATATGGAGAAAACCAAAAACAAAAACATTGAGGAGACGATTTGGACTTGGATGACTCAGGCTCCTTGAACATGATAATCAGAGAGATTACGGTAGCACTGGACATCTGGAATATCTTTCGTTTTCAATGATGATGATGATGATGATGATTTTGTAATACTCCTCTTAATTTGGTTTCACTAATTCCTAGAGCATCGCATACGCGTTGTTGTACAGACATTACCGATTTTAAAGGACCGCCGTTTTCTTTTTCATCCGTAAAATACTTATGTACACTACAAATTAGACTATCTACATCTAACACACGTCTAGGCATTTTTAAAATTTCCACTAAATTTACAATATACATACAATGTCAACACTTGCAAAGAATCAATTTAACTGCAATATTTGTAACAAATTTAGTACCTACCCTAATGTTATTTTAATTTAAATCTGACCATTAGGGCAATTTTACCTAATTTCTTGGGAAGAGGCCTAATGGAACTGGTTGTCAATGACTAATTTGCATAATTTTGTTAATACGAAACCCGCGTAAATATAGCGAACAGACTGTATTTTAGAGAGGAGCAAACGACTACACAGAGAATCATTTTCAGGACCAGAAAGGAAGAAGCTCATGAAAGAGAGGAATATAGCTGAAGGGACTTATCACCAATGCGGACAAATCATTTAAATTATGTACTCAATTTAATAAAGCAAATATAGCCTATAAATTTTAATAAAAGATTGAGTTTAAATGTATGTGTCAGTCAGGAATAAAAATTGAAAAATTAGATGAAATTACTATAACGAAAATTAAAAAAAAATCAATTTTACTCTTTATAAATGCATCAATTTGGAAAATGTTATTTCTTTAAAGGGTTTTTCAAATTTTATTTGAAATAATGGCATCTGCGGGATGTATATGTTTAATTGATTCTGGGCACTTCCACAACGCTGTCATCTTCAATTAAACCATCTGGACTCGCTTCCAAAATAAAACATTTCTATGGACGAAAAGGCCTCAACTTTTCACTTGCATTTTACTAACGTTGGAAAATTCTTGTATAGTGTACGTTTCGTGAATTTTTCAATATTCGGAGGCCTTTGTAGTAAATTTAGAATATAATAAAGATTTTATTGTATTAATGGAATTTTTATTTATTATTGATTATCAAAACAATGGTGTTTTATATTCTTATTATCTCGTATGTAAGTACTCACATTACTATATGTCAGGTTTTCACGGAATCTACATATCAAACATAACGACAAAGTAATAAAAAATCTTGCTAAACAAACACATCCGACAGAGCTTTCGTTTTTATGCAACAGATTCTCGTCAACGATAAAAGGAAGGTCAGGTGTCACGGTAACCAGCACGCGTCGGATGATTTCTGCGTGGGTCACTGGCCAAGAAGACACCTTAAAAATATTGTGCTCAACCAAATCTCTACATAAAATCTGATAACAACAGGAATTACCGGAAATCATTTTACATTTATTTGTTGTTGGCGAACTAATTGTTATGGTTACCGAAGACTCTAACGATCTAAGACTAGAGGTGTTACTTAAATGGGTTTTTTATGTATTAAGGGGGGTAACCCTTTCGATGTTAGGAACACGATGCTTAATGATTGGCGAATTTAAATAACGTGCCTATTTGTAATAAATAATATTTCATTAGACGTCTTATTTTAGTTTTTAAAAGGATCTGTTTTTGTGGCTACCAAAGACAATTTGGACGACGTGTCTCCTTGACAAACTTTTTAAGTGTATTTGTATTATAAAATAAGTGCTAATCATGCCGAAAGCTTGTATAGTTTGCAATAATAAATTCTTAAAAGAATCCCGGTTGACGTTTCATAAGTAAATGGACAAATTAATAAGAAAGCAGATTTGTAGAAAGTTCTTCATTTGAGCATCATCGCAATAATTGTTTCCTTTGCGATATAATGCTTAATTTATTAGTCTTCTTGTGTATTGTAAAATGGATTAGATACCTTTTTGTATTGTACATATTTATTTGTCATTAATTTTTTAAATATTTTTTTTAACTTATTTTAACTTATTTTCTGCTGATCTCACAACCAAACTGTCAAGTATTTAGTTTGAGCATTAATAGCATTTCTAACAACACATGTCTAGCGCTAATCAAGGATAGACTAGAAGCATATTTGGACGAAGAAGGGGGGATATGCGAGGAACAGTACGGATTCCGCAGGAAAAATCAACCATTCAAGACATAGAGAAGGTCATGTCTCTGACACGAGTAGAAAATGCGTAAGAAATGCCTTTAACAGTGCTTCATTGGACAAAATCAAACAATGTCTGACGAGACTAAACATCCCACAATACCTGCAAAACATAATCGATGACTATCTACACAACAGGGGTATAACTACTCTCACGGTATGTGCAAACACAAAATACAACCTCATCCATAAAGCAGAAGTAGCCGTTGATATGGTAGAGGTCTGGATTGAAAAACATAAGACCGAGATGATAGTTCTAAAAGGCTCCAAGAAAAGAGCAAACCTCATAATACGCATGACAGACATAGAAATAATGTCATCGTAAGACGCTATCTTAGGTGTGGATAATAAAGAAGCTTGTATAGTTAATAGTACTGCGACAAGTACTCCGCCGCCACGTTCACATTCGAGTTGATTGTATAACCTATCGCGTCGAAAAACTGTATATTGATTGGAAAAGAACTCAGAATTAATTTACTGTTTTTTGGTTACGGAGGAATAGTACCTCTTTAGACTAGGTATTACTACCTAGTCTACCTCATTGTTTTTGGTGAACATTTTTTTGAAATAAATCTATACTCCATATTTTCTGCGGTTCTCGCTAAATACCATAGAGCGCCATCTGCTTTCACCTTTTATGGCGTAAGGAGAGCCAAGCATCTCTATCCTTGTATATATTTTTGTCACTGACTTAACCGTCTCGTGTTGTCTCTGATATCAAATCATTTATGTCAATAAAATCAAGCAATACGTCATTAAAATAAAGTGTTTTTGAAGAAAAATCTTATTTATTATTCGTAGCAAAGGCTTTTCCGAAAACATTATGTGGCTGGAAGGAAACTGCGGTTGCGAGTAAGTAGTATGTTTTAAAATTTGGATTTTATATTAGAATTAATTAAACGTTACTAGGTAGATGCACCCATTTGGTTGGTGATAAATTGTAGACAATTTAGGAATTTTTGATGATTTAGGACATTTTAATTAAACATACTTGATTTCAATAGAAAAATATATAGAGTAGCAATGTTTTTATATGTGATATTCTTACATTAAAAGGAAATTTTATGTTTTAAAGAGACTATTATAATAAATAGTAGGTACCTATTTTTACAACAACCTACCTTGATTGGGGAAACCATTCCTTTTGTAGAGGAGGTGAAATATCTGGGTGTTATACTAGATAAATCCGCAATTGGATAAGACCATCAACAATAGTAGATTATCCTTCTGGACCCTCAGAAGGATATGCGACAAAGTATGAGGAATCAGTCCTCAATTGATCCATAGGATTTACCAAAAAATGGTTAAACCTATGGTTACGTACGGCCCTGTCATCTAGTCGAACAAGGAGCTTCAATAGGCGACTATAGCAAAACTGGCTGGAATCCAGAGGCTTGCGTGTTTCGATATCATAGGAGCAATGGCAAACACATTAATGGGAGCCATAGAGACCATGCTGGACTTAATTTCCCTTTATATTCTGCTGGAAAGCTAGGTCAAGATGGTCTTCTGTAGACTCCTGAATGGACTGCGATGGACCAAGACGAGACTGATGAGTGAAATTAATAAACACCACATCCTCGTCATAATGTTAGACTCGCTAGTTTCCCGACAACACATAGAAAAGCCATACAGCGTCCTCATTCCAGAGAGCAGTGGTTATAAAACCCTTTTCACAAAAGGATTAAGGTCACTGGTAAAAGGAAATCTTAGAACGGAATTTTGTAGACTTTACAAATTCAATTTACTTTTACTAGATACTTTTTATGAATGATATACAGGGTGTTTCATAATATATGCGCAGGACTTCAGAACGTGATAGCTCGTACAAAAATATAAAAAAAACGTTTCTATTAACTTACCCTCTAAAATGCACCATTTTCGAGATACAGGGTGTTGAAATCATAGAAATAGTATCGAAAGCCGATTCCATATATCAAAAATGAAACCATAAGGAGAAAATAGTGTGTCGGAGCTCATGCGTATAACGGTGCTGGCGCGAACAGGACCGGTGCAAGTTTTTTATTGATCGAACAAATAGTTCACACATTTCAATCATACATTTTTAGAGACGATTCTATACAAAAAACGATTAAAAAAATTTCAAGTTAAGGTAAATATGGTTCTGACAGTCCTTATTAAGAAAGATATGGCATAAAATATGAATTAGTTAATTTTCGGCAATCATTAGTACAGTAGTCATGAGATTTTGCTTGTGATTTTAAAAATACTTTCCAGAAAAACCACGTGCTCCGGTTTTGACTATGTTTATTATTAAACAGCGAAATTATATACAAAAACTTTAATCCACAATCTAAATTAGGTACTATCACAAGAAAATCACTGTTACAATAATTAATTACTTAACCAAAAACTAAAATACTTTTTAGGTACCTACGTAACCAGAAAGGAGCTGGACCATTTATCCTAATATTGATTTTCTCTCTCCCTACGGTAAAACTTAAAACAATAACAAATTGCCTATCTACTAGGGTCGGTAACTAAACGTATATACATAATGGGCGGATTTTGTTTATACTTAACATTACACTCGCGCATTTAAATATAACTGTGCATATAAATATTTACAAACAAAGGTACTTTTCCAAACAGGCAATCATTAGTACTGTAGTGACGAGATTTTGCTTGTAATTTGACATCTTATTTGATAATATCATTTGCTACAACTAAATTTAATCTGGGGAGTGCAAAATAGGGCCCAGGAATATTATGTTCGATATTTTTTTACATTTTGTCAGCCGAGACTATGAGTCGTTAGACAAAACCTTTCATGTTACCATTTTCAATATAAATTAAAAAATTAAAAAATACTACTACATTTACTTGGTACATATTTTATTTTAATTTTGAACCCTTTTAAAAGGGTCTTTCGGTTCCATAATAAAAATTAGTTGCTGCTTACTAGAAACATTCTATATAGCCTAAACCAATTTATAGTTTGTTTTCGATCAATTTAATAGATTTAAAGTTTTTAGTCGATGATAATATTCCACACCAGCACATTGCAAACCTATTTTATAAATAATAAGAATAAACTTGTAAATCATTAATTTGGTAGTTATCTCACTCATATGATTTTTTTGTTTATATGAATATTTCGATTTCTAAATATATTTTGGCCTTACAATACGAAGCGTTTTGTATCTACCACTTTTTTAATGAACGATGAATGTTGACAGGCGTGTACCTTTTTCGGAACAAGAGGCGTTTTAACGAAGGAAATGATTTTCGAACTATCTAGTTAGTTTTCGGAAAAATAGAAAACGTTTGAAGAAAGTTGTCAATAACAGTTTGTCGTTCATGTGTTTCATTTTGATCAGCTTTCATACTAAATTGCGTAGAATATTTTTCCGAATCAAAATCGAGATTCTCGATATTTCCACAGTTTATTTATAATACCTTCTAAACTGGATTTATCTATCATTTTATATACTTTATAATATATGTTCATGCCCTACTTTTCACTTTATTAATAATTTTTTTTTAACATACTTCAAAATGGTAGGATATTCTCAATTCGTTGAAATATTTTTTTATGTATGTTGAGCGATAATTCTTTACCACGTTGCCCGATTTCTAGGATTCTTTTTGTTAGAAAAGGAAACAGTTTTATATACATTAAGTCAAGATCTGAAGATGGGATCCATAAGAAAATCATTAACATCTTTATTTTTAAAGTAGGTTTTTTTTTTAAATTTCTTTAAACCTTACTGGTTCGAACGCCGTAAGGAATGAAGAAATGTAAATAATTGTTGTGCCAGCCAAAAAACGAAGAAGAAGTACCGATTAAAATATCGAGTGACAGAAGAGTTCCTAAGATTGTTGAGATCGGGTTTATGTTTTAAAATGCCTTAAAACCGATATCGATAATGTCTCCCCGTCGCTGGGCAGCCTGTATAAAAATATACAGATCTCTATTTACATAATTATAATTCTTAGGTAGGTTTAGATTTGCAGACATAAATCTTGTAATAAATATAACAGCTGCCTAATACATTGATTACATTTTCATTAGCCAATGTAAAAATGTCTTTTATTGTACCTAGGATTTGACTAAACACTACACAAAACTAAAAATAAAATGCCACTTTCATCGTGTAATTAATGCCGCGTTTGAGAATCCACATCGGATACATTTTTTACATCTCGAGCGTTTTTTATCAACATCGGACACATCTGTCCCATTACATTTACGTATACTGAATCACGTGATCAAAGATTTACTACTTACTACATCTCAGATGCATCCGATGTGGATTCTGAAACGCGGCATAAATAATAAACTACAAACGGTCCTGTAAGGGCAGCGTCATATAGCCTTGAAACACCGGATTTTAGTGCTATTGCCAGGTCAATATTGAATTTGTAGGTGAATCGCTTATTGTACATTAAAAATACGGTATTAATGACATTAATACGGTATTTGTATATATTTTTGGGAATGTAATTACACATAAATATTATTAGTTGATTATTTAAATGTTTATAAGTTATTTTGTGGCGATATTTCGTAGATATAAACTGTTTAAATCATATAATTTAAAAAATTAATTAATTTAAAATTCTTTTCTGTTAGGTATGTTTAATATATTTGGCAACACTACAGGGACAAGTCATGCATATTGCGCAAGCTTCTAGACACACTATTTTGCGATGTCAGGCGCAGAGACGCATTTTTATGCACAGTAGGTTTCAATTTCTGCTTAAATGTTATGTTTATATTGGTCTTCTATATTATTTCTATGGTTGAAATTGAAAAAAAAAAATTCTACGCCACTGGAAAAAAGTACGGTTTTGAGACGCAAATTTGAACCGCCAATGTTTTCTACACAAAAAAGGCACTCTTGGTCATACGCTCTAAAGTCGACCGTTTTCGAGAAAAATCAAATTTTAATGTTGTTTTGAAATTTAAAACCTACTTGATGAAACAAAATTTGATTTTTCTCGAGAACGGTCGACTTTAGAGCGTATGACCAAGAGTACTTTTTTTGTGTAGAAAACACTGGCGGTTCAAATGGGCGTCTCAAAACCGTACTTTTTCCAGTGGCGTAGAAATTTTTTTTTATAATTTCAACACCCTGTATCTCGAAAATGGTGTATTTTAGAGGGTAAGTTAATGGAAACGTTTTTTGCGCATATATTATAAAACACCCTGTATTTGTCGTTTCTTAAAAATTGTTTAATTTTAGTGAACCACAGCGTTCAGGGATGGGGCTACCCTGTCTGCAGAGACCTGCTCCTCACTTTAGAGAAACGGCAGTAATTAATGGAATGTTTAAGGAAATTGGACTCGACGACTACAAAGGACAGTACGTCGTTCTCTTTTTTTATCCATTAGATTTCACATTTGTCTGTCCCACTGAATTAATCGCCTTTTCCGAAGCTTCAAAAGAATTTAAGAAAATTAAAACGGCTATAATTGCTTGTTCTACTGATAGCCAATATACGCATTTAGCTTGGACTCAAACGTCAAGGAAACAAGGTGGATTGGGTGATATGCATATTCCTTTAGTTGCTGATAAATCTATGAGAATTTCGAAAGCTTACGGTGTATTGGATGAAAATACCGGCGTTCCTTTTAGAGGGCTATTTATAATTGATGGAAAAGGTAAATAGAATTTATAAGAGTCTTCACTTTTATTAATTTGTGTAAAATTCACGAAACAAAAAATGCGTAATTAATTGTTCATTATTTTAATTGAATAGGAACGAATTGTCAAGACATGCGCAAAACGAAAGTGAGCTCGTAAATAAATTACGACCAACTCTGGATTATATTCGTTTTGATAGCATCGATCGTAGTCTCGATCGTAATTTGATTTTTATTCATTATCATTATTTATAGTATAGTTTTTTATAAGTAATGAGTGTAGAAAGTGAAAAGGACTATTATTCTGACTTAGACACAGTAAAAAATAAAATAAGTTAATGTGCTAACCAATCGAATAATCACAATTTATAAATATTTTAATAAGTGTTTATTTATCAAATTCAAAATTTAACATCTGTTAATTGTTTTTTACTTTTACGTTATTGACAGTGTGTCTGACAACAGATAGATGTGTTCCAACACAACCAAGTTCCGAATTCAGTCCCAATTATCCACAGGTCGTGGACTGGTCGTCGACTATAAGTTGTGAAATAGTTTGTGTGTGGTTCCAAGATTGTTGTTGGAACAAACCTATAGTGACCTATTCCTATTGTGACAGAAAATATATGAATTGGTACCCTTATATAATGATATTCATTGATTTTATCAATACATTTGTTCATCGTATCAGTGTACATCTTCATGGAATCAAAAAACATCCTTGCTTTGTTTTAATGAATTAGTACATATATCCAGTAAAATCTGATTATTATATCAATGTACGTTTTCGTTGAATTAATGAATATTCTTGTATTATTTCAATGAATTAGTACGTAGATCCAGTAAAATCTGATTATTATATCAATGTATTTATTCGTTATACCATGAATATTCTTACGCTATTTCAATGAATTAATACATAGATCCATTAAAATCTGATTATTATATCAATGTATTTGTTCGTTGTACCAATGAATATTCTTACGCTATTTCAATGAATTAATACATAGATCCAGTAAAATCTGTTTAGTATATCAATGTATATGTTCGTTGAATCAATATATATTCTTGCGTTTTTTCAATGTATCACTACATTGATCTGGTATAATTAGTGGATTGTATCGAGAATTTTTTTATTGAATTATTGAACATTTTTGACTTATTTCAATGCACTCGTACATGGATTTGGTGTAATGTATTTCTTGCAATAATGATTATTATTTATTAATCTAATAACAGGAGTGGCAATAATGGCATAAGCAAAGCTTAGTGATAAAAGGAAGTATAATTAGAAATTAAAAGAGTCTATAAATTTCATAAAAAATATGTATATTGAATTAAAACAAAAAAATAAACGATTAAAAACTAATATACTTACATAAATGGCAAAAAATTAAATAAAAACCAACAATAACAAACACAAACGCATAAAATATATCAAAATGTTTTTTGAGTATCTATCATGTGTAAAGGATGGTGCAAATATTTGGAATAAATTCATTATTTCGAAAATAGTCGATTTTTAAGAAATATTCTGAATATGTCAATTTATGTTTTTCATTCTTTGGCATACTTAAAAAAGGTTATGCCAACTTTGATAGGCTGATGACGTAATCGATTTTTCTTTTAAATAGAAACCAATATTTAACATTTTCCTTCCTCTTCACAATTATTATTACTCTTAAGTACTAACTTCCTTGCATTTTGAAAAAATAATGGGAAACAAAATTCTAAAACATTTCCGATTCAGGGGAAAAATCAAGGTCAAAGAAATATATAATGTTAAATGTTAATATATTAAAAAATGTATATCAAATATTATTAAAATATACTGTTACAATTGTGGTATTAATTATATATCCTCACCGAAACAAAAAATAAATGACTGAATATGTCCTTTTTTGATTTTAAAAATCCTAAGTATTTCTCAACTCCTTGTTGGTTGACACTTACATAAAGGAATGATTCCTGAGAGTCTTTTATATTTAATTACGTTTTGCTTTCCGCTGGTGCCTTTTTTATCGCCTTAATGGTAGGAACAAAGTATCCATGTAGTGCCCATAATAGAACTGCATGTCTGCCACCTAAAACATAGAAACGTGTTATTTATCCAACTATCCATATTTTTAAACTCAAACTTGGTGTCAAACTGTATAATAACAAGGTAATTACTCACTTTCGGTAATATTTTCATTTTTAAGTTTTTCAAGCAATTATGTAGATGTCTTGTCCTTGATTTCTGTTCTTAAAAAAGATAAAATTTTGTCAAAATACAAATTAAAATATTTTACAAATGCATCCCCATTTTCGAATGCCACTTCGAAATCAATTTCAATCTAAAAAAAGTTTATCAGCACTGGTTTCCGAACATTTATAAAATATTGTGTAATTACCAATCGGTAACCAGAAGGATGTTTATAATGGAGCCATTTTGTAAAAATGTCTTGGGTGTTTTGAAACATTTTGATATCGTTTAATCTATATTTTGTGCAGGCTTTCCAAACTGCTCCGATGTCAGATTCTCAAACTTGATTGCTCTTCATATTTCAACATCTGGTTCTGGACCTAAAAGTTTTTTGTTTGTTTTTTTTTTTATTATACTATAGAGTAGCATCAGACTAACAAAATCAAAACGTTTTCAAAAAAATTCTGACAAGCCTGTGATGTAATTTTTTTAAAGCCATAATTTTTTCCACATGAATTTTAGAATTAATACAAATAAATAGAAACTGAAACTAAATTAAATATTAAACCTCTGCTTCGGCTAAGCAAAAATAGAATATTTCAAATTGTTTTTTTTTTTTGTTATTTTACAAGGTAGCTAGAGAAAAATGAGGTGACATAAAAACACCTATAGATCTCAAAAAACTTACGGAACTTTTGTAGATGCCGAGTTGCTTTTCCTTTTTTTTTTCTTACTTGGTTGATTGACGTCTAGCACTTTTCTAAGCGAATTTTTTAAATTTGTGCGTTTAATATATAATTTCCCTCTTTTTTTGTACGATGAAATTCCTAAAACAGAAAATAAATAAAAAAATGACTGTCACTGGAATAACACTTGACCAAATATAGTGAATATATAGAAAAATTATCTGAAATGATATTCTTACCAATTTTTCGGAAGGAAATTTTTCTATAAGTTTATTTTCAAGTCTATAACTGGTAGGTTCTTATTGTCATTGCTATTTCTTCTTCTTCTTCTGCGAAATGCTGGCATATAAAATTTAGTAAAGTTTGAAATAAGAATTTTTTCTTAAAAAATTTATTATTTTCGTAATTTTTCGCAATCTATGTGATATTGGTTTTTAGTTTTATTTATATTATTTTACGTCTAGATCACATTTTAGTTTGACATATTGTTTAAATTCCACAGATTTCTTGATAACTTCCAAATTAATTGATTTAATAACTATTAGGTATTGTATGGGTTTTATTCATGTCAGCGAAGTTTGTTTCGATACACGAATCTACAACATGTTTCCTATTTATATGTATTTTAAAACTACATATATTTTAAAAGATCTAATTACAATCATTCTGACAAAATCGAAATACAGAATTAGTTCCTAAATCGTGTCTATGTTTTCAGTGTTTAATCAACAATGTCAATCGAGTAAAGCGACGACAAATGAAATATGTACCCAAACCTTAAAACCTTTGATAGTCTTTGATCATATGTCTAAAAATAATTTGCATGAACACTTAATTTTAAAAATAAAATAAACGTACATACCTTCTACGACACCAATAACTAACTGGACACTATTTTGCATAATGCCTTCTTCGTCTGCAATTTTTCTCGACCCAATCATTGAATTACTTGAAACAATGGAATGTGAGAATGTTAGGAATGTTGACGTTAGAAATAATTAGAATCCCTAAAATTGTCACATAAGAGATGCATAGGCGGATTTTATGAAAATTGATATTAAAGTAGTTAGGATGAACTGGGTTCTAAGTTAGAAGTAATTATTCAAGAAATCACAACTGTAAGTCAATCAAAACTTTCGTTCTAGAGTTATTGTGCCGACATACATACACACAAATGACTAAACGAGCATTTTCGTACTCAGAATGATCGGAAACATGAAAAAAAGTTTTAAAAAATGGGGGTAAGAAAATTTTTTGTCTGCACGAATTCAATATTAAGGCCTCATAGGAAGCACCTCAGTAAAAACACGTAACCAAAACTTAGATGCTAAAATTAAAGGAGTCAAATTGATTATAAATGGTAACCAGTATACTGCAAAAGATTTATTAAAAGTATTAAAAGATAACGAATCCAAGGAAAGTAAAGAAGAAAAAGCAAAATAAAAAGAAGATATAGGAAGATATAGCAAAGCGTCGAGGAATTTTAATTTAATTTTAAAGTCATTTTATTGTATTTCTTAACAAAGCATTAACTAAAAAAATAAAAATAATATTCAGATTTATTTATTTATTTATTTATTATTATGTTATTCTTTCTACCTTTAGTAGATGCGACACTCACTATAACAGTAAGCTGGTAAATGTTCTTCTTACAGAACATTTTTGGTTAGATAATCTAAAATATAATACACTTGCGCTTACTAACAAAAAAAATCTACATTCTCTTGTTTCGTAATAGGAGTATTTCATTTTGAAAGACCCATCACTGATTTATAATTTTTTTCTAGGAATTTTAAGACAAATCACAATAAATGATTTGGCAGTGGGAAGATCTGTCGAAGAAATTTTTCGTTTGGTACAAGCATATCAATTCACCGACGAATTTGGAGAGGTATGTCCAGTTAATTGGAAACCTGGTGACAAAACATTAAAACCAGATCCAAATAAAAGTAAAGACTATTTCAGCTCAACGAATAAGTAGATTCGAAAATAATGTATGTTCGCTTTAAATTTTAATGAAGAAAACAAAAAAATAGTTTCCTATATAAATAATGGAATGATAGGGTAAATTCGGGAGAGACGGTACAATATTTTTAATTTTTTAAATAAGAATATTTATAGTTATAACCAAAATTATTAAATAATGGTCCACTTAGTTTGTAAAAAAGAATACCTACATTTTATTTCACATAACCAAATGATTAAATAGTATATTACATACCAAGTGTGGAAAGTGTAACATTTCGCACGAGTTGAAGTTTAGCACGAGCCGCGTAGCGGCGAGTGCAGAAACTAAACGAGTGCGAGAAATACACTATTTGTGTACACTATTTTTTCTACGACCACACACAAAATCCTTAAAAAAACGTCTTTTTTAAATGAGAAAGTCAATTAAACCATATCACACATGTACTGAAAAGTATATATTTTTTTACTTTTCAATACATGTGTATTTTGCTATTTTTCAATACGTGTGTGATATATATTTCAGTACACGTGTGATATAAGCTACTTTCTTAAGAACAAATAAGTGTGCATACTATCATTTTCGTATGTGGTCGTAGGAAAAAGAAAAAGCGTCTTTCATAAGGTGACTAGTTTAACAAAATATAGTAAAAATCAACACAATTATTATTTTCTCTTCTTCCACATTGGATACACTGAATTAACTAATATATTGCAGCCTTACTGAAAGTTATTTCACAATAATTCTCCCCACATCCTACATATTCGTTGTCGCTTATGTTGCCCAAATATTTGTATAAAATCTCATCTGTCTCACTCTATGAAGACGATTTACTTCTCCTCTACTTTAGTCCTTTTTTACGTGGCTTGGCTTCTACTTTTGCATCCTTTTTTTCTGCTAAAAATGTTTTTTTTTTTTTCGTAGTTATTTGATTTTCAGAATGTCACTTCTTCTGCACCCTGTTGGTTACATGTTTGAGTTTCATCCAGTCTAGAGGTAGAGGGGTTAGAACATATTGCGATCAACATTTTTCCTGGAGTTTATTTTTTAGTGGGACTTTTTTCTGCTGTTACTTTTACATTACCAATTTCATGTAGATGTTCTTAAGTTAGGTCATCGTTGACGTTAGTAGCAATCTAAAATATGCACCATCATGTTTGTTTATTTCACCAGCTTTAGATTTCTCCACGCTAATACTGAGGTTTTGTTAAAATTATGTTGTAGATCCAATTGCTCAGCTAGCTGGTAAGCCATGTGACGTTCATGACTTCGTGTAGGTAGGAAGCTAGAGGTTTTCAGTTGCTTTTTATATAGACAACTAATTTTGATGACAGAGTTTTAAGTTTTTCTTCTCAGATTGACCAGTTTTTAGCCTGCTTTGTAATTTAGTAGTGGGCACTCCAAATGGTCTTTTGGCTGCATTTATTTATTGCTAGGAAAAGTTAGTTGGTCTTCAGTCCATTCAGTTCTGGTACAGCTGCTTGCACATTTTTAAAAAGCAATCTGATTTTCACTATAAAAGAAATGACTCATCCATTATTATTATTAAGTGATTCTATACATACTCCTAAAGAATTTGGAACACTTTTTTAACCATTATATTAGTCCTATGTAATGGTTACTTTCAAATAAGCCTTTGCTTCATTTTCATATATTTAATTTTGTGAAATTTTAATGTAGGTATATCTACCTAAATATATAATGATGTATCTTTAATCACCTTTAACAAAGTGTACAATCGCCAAACTTATTTACTCAACAGAACAACAACTACTCGATACAGAGATCGATATTGTATTGCTGCAGCTGATAGTGCCTTAATGCTAAGCTCCACCAGCTCTCCCGACTTTACCCTATGTATATATAAAAATAAATTTCAAATCATCCAAATAATATTTCCCACAAATGATGTGTGTAAAATAAATTCGGCAATAAATGTAATCTTGTTTTATTATACAAAATGAAACTGTAGGTTAGGTTAGGTTAGGTTAGGTTAGGTTAGGTTAGGTTAGGTTAGGTTAGGTTAGGTTAGGTTAGGTTAGGTTAGGTTAGGTTAGGTTAGGTTAAGTTAGGTTAGGTTAGGTTAGGTTAGGTTAGGTTAGGTTAGGTTAGGTTAGGTTAGGTTAGGTTAGGTTAGGTTAGGTTAGGTTAGGTTAGGTTAGGTTAGGTTAGGTTAGGTTAGGTTAGGTTAGGTTAGGTTAGGTTAGGTTAGGTTAGGTTAGGTTAGGTTAGGTTAGGTTAGGTTAGGTTAGGTTAGGTTACGTTAGGTTAGGCTAGGTTAGGTTAGGTTAGGTTAGGTTAGGTTAGACATCTCGCTAAAATAATAAAAATTTATTTGGACCTTAAAAAAAAGTATATTAAAATGTATTGACAGTCTTCTTCGTCAGTACTTTTCGTCGTCTTGATTATTTATTTTCTTTTTCTTCATTTCTTTTTCGTTTCCATAAAAACTCCATGACCACGCTCGTCAAAGCTAGACCAATCAAGGCACACTTCAAAAGACGTCGAACCGATATATCAGCCTAAGACTTAACAACGTTATGACCATGACATCAGTTACGACATCGACGCTTGACCAACCTCAAATACAAACGACTTAAAAATTTTAAAATGAAATATGTCAGAACTAAACAAAGGTAAGGTTATGTGGGGAACATGATGTCGCCACATATAACTTCCCCGCTCAAAAATATTATTAGACCCACAAAAAAAATTCTAAAACTACAAAACTAACTGTAAGTTATTAGGTTTAATACAAAAGAAACTATCTATGTTGATTAATGATTCTTTACCATTAATTAAACTTTTAAAAACCTTATCGTTTCATTCTAATGGTCCTTCAAAAGAAGAGGTTAAGGAAGGTTTGATACCCTGAAATTCTAAATTGTTATTTTTATCGAAAAGGAAAAGTCTTTTAGAAGATGTATCACCTATGCTATCTAATGTTGATTTTACTCGTTTTTTGGATTTGAAATTTTAAAAGAGTCGTACATTAAACAAGAAGGACCTGCACATTTGAATGCGTCCTTTCCATATCCACTGTGATAATAACCTAAAGGATCAGTAGGTTCATTTTCTTTATTGAATTTACGAGGATGTTTATTCCCGTTCCTAGATCTTGAAGAATGTCTACAAGAGCAGCCTTGCTTAGAATCCCTACGAGACATGTGATCGAAATCTTTATTTTCTAACGAATTAATTTTAATTTCTAATTCTAAAAAATGGTAAAGTTATGTGGGAAACATGTTGTCGCCACAGAAACATTAGTTGGAACTTTTATTATCTAAAATTACACTTATTTATGTCATCAGAAAATTCAAATCCTACTAAGGAACGGTCTCTCCATTGGGTCATTTGTGCAGAGAACACCCAGTTACATTTCACGAAAACACATTATTTTAAAATAATAATTTGTGTTTATTTTTATTTTTTGGTAAGCCACTGCGCTCTGGCTAGTCGCATCTCTTTGGCTCACTTTTCTGAGTGAGATCGGGGAAGCGAGATGTTTTCCTGAAAGCCTGTTGCTAAAAAGAGATGTCAATACTTTAACAGATCCGAGAAACGAAAAATGACTTAATTAAAATCATTAAAAATCACCTGATTTTGCACAACGTACGCAGTGACGTCACAAAATAGGACGGGGAATACGAATCTTTTAAATCATAGATGCACTTTTGCATTACCCTTTTACCATTGAAAAACGTATTGTTTTTATTAATTTTATATTCTGTATATTGAACATGATAGCCCCAATCGAATATATTAATAATACAGGTCTATTGCAGTGATCTAAGGAATCTATGACTAAGTATTGGCCTACAGTTTTGACACACCCTGTATATACTGATTATAAAACAAATAGAAACAGAAAAGTCTTAAATAACATAAAACCAGCCGTATAACTTTCTAAAATTCTAAAAACTGTATTGCAAATGTCTAAGAAAAGATAACATCCCATTTAGCTATGTCACTAGCTTGGTAAAATAACGTTTTTCAGGAGATTTGGTAAGTCTGAGAATTCGTGTCGTCTGATACATAACATTTATTCGCATGTTTGTATTACTTGTTTCATTTGACTTATACTTTTGCTACCACATTCCAAAGTCCAGATGTATCGCCGAAGAAACGCTTAATGACAGTATTTTGTCTGCCAGAATCTCCCTTCCTCTTGTTTGTTTTGAGATTTGTGTACGCGTTTATTGTTAGTTTACATAAACGTATAAATAAATCATAAAGTACAGTACGCTGTGATTAAAATAATTAAAATAAATGAAATAGGGCATTTTTAAGAAAATTTACATAATAAAGTGTATCTAGTTTGTGTTTTATCAATTTTTAAATTTGTTTTGAATATAAATGAAGTACCTATCAGTATCTGTCATCACTAATATAACATGAAATTAAGAAAGTTCTTTGAAACTACCAGCAAAGATTGGATACAAATATTCCTTGAGACCTGAGATAGGAAATTAAACTTTTTGGAAATAATAAGTTCCGCCTGTTACACCTAGAAAATGGGTGATAGTCTACCACAGTGGTCGCCAACCTCTTAATGTGTTGAGCTACTTTGTTAATTTTGGAATAAACAGGGAGCTACCCACACGAAAGCCACGTAACGCAACGTAAATGAAATAATCCACAGTTAATTTATCATTATATGTATTTATTTTACTATTTAACTGGTAATACATAATACATAGGTACTAATAATAAACTAATAACAAAATAACTAATATTACTAGTACGTACTTGTTCATAGCTACATTCCTACCTACCAAACGAAAGTGTTTGAAAAATAAACACAAACTTTTATCCAGCCACAGCAACATGTCACGTAAGATTTAAAAATAGTTAATAATAACAACAAAAAAGTAACGCACTATCATGAACATAAACATTGAAAAATAAAAAAGCACGTTCAATGAAAAGGCTGACACTCAGACTCATCGATAATTTTTTTAATGTTTGCAGTATAATTTGATACAGCCATTCGAATACAATTATCTAAATGTTCATCTGTAAGTCGATTGCGATATTTGTTCTTAATAAACTTCATATTGGAAAAAGAAAATTCACACAAATAGGTTGAACTGAATAATGCTTTCACTTTCAAAGCAACACGGCATAGAACTGAATATTTGTCTTTACTTACAATAGGCCAGATACATTTGGTACTTGAGACTAACGATTTTAAGGCTAAATCATTTTGAAACTCAATTACTTCCATTTCTGTTGCAGCGATGTCTTCGCCAAAGTTCTGCATAACACAAGTTGCAAACTGTTGGATATCAATTTCCATAAAGGGTGAAACAACAAACTGCGCTACTAAAGCCATTTCGTTGAAATCCTTAAAACGAATTTTGAAGTTATTCTTCAGGGTAGAAAATATTTCTACATGATATTGTCAAATAATATATTTAGGGTTCATGCACTATAGGTAAAATAGTTAAATAATTATTCATTTATTAAAAAAATATTTATCTCATATTAAATTAATGTTTTCATTTTTTCACATTCATTGTTTAGTTTATTTAAAGA